TTACATTTAAGAACACTTAGATATACCACACATAAGCTAACAAGGAGAAACTATAGCTGTGAATAAGATGTTTTGTTTGCTTTGTATATTATGTTTAAATATCTTCTCTAGGTGAGAAAACAAAACATTTATACTGAAGCTGATGTTTTACACTGTCCTAAAACATGAAGCAGTCACAGTTGTGATTCTGAAAATGCTATAAGAATCACTAGTTCAAAACATACAGCTTTTGAACACAAACACTCCTGGAGCTACAGTCCAAACCAGTGTCTACAGGGAAATGTTACTTTAACCAAGGCAATGGTGTCAAAACAAATGATCCACAGTTAGATCACAGTTAGAGGTAAATCAGTGAATAGACAGTTCTTAGGACTCAGGGATCATCTCCAAATCCTGGAGGGAAACAGCAGCATGGCTATCCCATGCTAAAGAGTGCTTGCTACTTTCTGGGACAGGAAGAGGTCTCAAACTAAGCTTCCACTCGGCACCAAGGAGGTACACCTCAACACTGATTATGTCACCACAAGGGAGCAGGTAAAACCCAATAACAGCTAAGCATGTGCTTGCTCTACATGTGTGTACAAACCAGTGAAGTTTCAAAATCCTTAGAAGAATTCAAAGATGACATTTTACCTCAGCTGCCTGCTGTCAACATCAGGGCTGGTCATCAAACGCAAAGGGGAGTTGAGACAAAAAAATTGGCAGAAAATAGAATAAGAGAAAAATTTCCCCAAAGTAAAATTTCCAGACATGGAGGAATCAAAAAAAAAAAAAAAAGGTGAAAAACTAAATCCTAGTCAGTAAAGCTTACAATGTTTCCTACTTGCAATGAAATGAGAACTTGGGAAAGGCTTACACTTTCACAAAGGATTTCTTGTGCATCAAGCCTCAAGAGGTGCAGAGCTAATACCTATCTACTGAAATGGCTTCCAGGAAAGCCCTGCCATATTATGTCACCATACCTGAGCCAGCTCCTTAACACGCTTCTCCAGGGGTGTTGGCAGGCCTTCAGGGAAGGAAGAGGGCTGCCTGAATTCCTGATCCAATCCCACCCCAAGGGAATCACTTCCATCATCCATATCTCGGAAAGGGCTTCCTTCTGGAGACTCACTGAGCAGCTGCTCCAAGTCCAAATCCGTCAGGGAGTCCATGGCAGTGGCAGCTTGGAGCAAGTCATTGTCAGAAGTAGAGCCAAAGAGTGAGAGCAATGGGTCAGAAGTGCCCTCTAGTTCCCTCAGGCCCTGGGCTTCTATTGATGACACAGCTACAGGCTTATGTTCCTCCTCCCTCTTTTTCTGAGCCTCTTTCTCCTTCTGAAATTTCTTGAGCATTTCTCTAACACTTAATGACCCAGAATACTTCTTCTTCTTTTTCTCCTTACTGGCATTGAGGGCTGTGAAGCTGTAAGCAAGAGGGAAACTGGTTACTCAGGTTGTAGGACTTTCCATGAAAAACTCAGTAGCCTGCATCCCTCCTCCCAGGGAAGGGTCTCCTCTCCATAACAGTCTTTGTTTTGTCAGTCCACTCTGTTATCATGCCTCCATCCTTTTGGCATAGAGAACTTGTTCTTGATGGACCAAAGCTTGAGCATGAATACAGATTAGCAATTCGTGTCATATAGTGCTAAATATCCAGTGTGTTTTTAAGAATCACTACCAGGATGAAATAAAAGTTTGCAAAAAATGGGGGGGGGGAAGGAAAACTATTTTAAGAAAGAATTCATGAGAAGCAAAGAACAGCAGTGACTTGAAGGCAGCTGGGTTGACTGGGTAAGGAGGAATCATGACCAGAGAAGACAAAAGAAAATAAAGACAGAAGAATTGGGGCAGAGAGGAGTGCCAAGAGAACAAGGAACATCAGCAATCACATGGTGACAGAGATCGCTGCTGAGACTGACAACGGAACACAGGCACACAGGCTATCCAACACACAGAGGTGAGAATGGCTGACTTGCCCAGAACAGCCCTATCAGAAGGAAGAGGAGAGGAGGGTCAGGCCCTATAGTCCCTTTCGAAGCTGGAGAGGAGAGGGAGGGAAAGCCAGTTCCCAGGTATCCCAGGGCCCTCATGTGCCCTCATGGGCCAGAATTTTTCCCAGTGAAAAGCTGCTGCCTCTCACCCGGCTTTGGAAAACTTGGATTTTTTCGATCTCTTCTCCTTGTCGTAAGTGTCATCTTTCTTCTTCTTTTTTATCTTTTCACCACCTTCCTTCAACTTCCGCTTCTAAGAATTAAAGACAAGGCAGTTACACAATTCCCTGGGTCAGAGAGCAAGTACACTAGATTCTGCACTGGCTTTGCTCTGTGTGGGGTATATCTTTAGACCTATCTCATTTCCTTCATGAACAAAAAGCTGTTTCTCAAAGCAGTCTCTGGGTCAAGAACCCACAGCATTCCAACAGTGTTTGCTGCAAACATCCAAGTGAAGGCCCTGGTGGCTGTTCTAGAATTGGTTGTAAGTGAACCATCTCATTTTAAGTAATAGCCAGTAGTAGGCAAGCCTTGAAATACACTCAAACTAAAGCTGACCAGTTTGTAATGGGTGACAGCCCCAGAACTAAAGTCCTCTCCAAGTCCACAGTGGAAAAGCCAGGAAGAGTGAGTTCCTAGCCCTCCTTGAGACATATTTGGAAACATGACCCTGATGGATCATCTTGAGACATGGATGAAATGACTAAGGCCTGACCAGCATCCCCATGTTTACATCATGTACCTGTCCACCAGTCTCCTGAGCCATCCTAAGAGACTACATGTTCTAGAGTAACCTACTAATTTCAGAGAGTCACATCAAAAAAATACTTCTAAAGTCCAAAAGAAAGACTATCCTAACCTTTGGAGATTTTTTCTTCTTTTCTTTAATGAAGTCATCCTCAGATTCTGAAGCTTGTCTAAACTGCAAGGTTCCTGAGTTGATGTAAAATCCTCCATACTTTGTAGTCAAAGAAGCAGGAACAAGTTCATCATACTAAAGAAAGAAAACATACCATCAGCAACCACTTCTGACTCTACGGTCCAAGGTACAAAGCTCATCTTAAGAGATGCAACTGGGATTTCCTATCACTCTTCAGACACCATGCTAAGACATTCTCTCTTCAATCACTAGTGTGCAAGCTACTAGATGTTTTGGAAAGAAAAGGTCATGATTTTCAAATAAAAAAAACCAAGTTCTGGGTTCAGGAGGTCTCTTCCTCTTAAGTTCAGTGTTGCTTGTGCAAAGAGGACATACTGAGATGCCACAACCCCACTTCCCCACTGTCGGTATCATACAGTATCATATTACTAAGTACTCACCGCCTCAGAGTTATCAATGAAAGAATCAGATTCATCATAGCCATATCCCATGTCAATCAAATCCTGTACTCGGTCTTTCCTACGTTTCTTTCCACCCTGAAATTTAAAAGCAAGGTATCACATGGTTTTTTGGTAAGTACAATTAAATGCTGCCTTGAGCTAGTGATTAAGTTGTAAAGCAATGAAAACACATACTATCCCCCAACCTGTCTCTCTGTGTCTCTTCTCTTTCTCTCACACACATACATACTCTAACCCCTCCCCTAAAGATCTCTGAAATAGGGCAGATTTAATTTGCATAAATGACCTAAGAAAGAAAAACAAAATAGATTCTTTTGCTCTATAACAAAACAGATCCTCTAAGGCCTTATTTATTTACCCATTTAATTCACACATAGTTCCTGCCACGTTAGAGTTCTGCACCTTAATGCATTGGTTTAATAAGTGCATTCTGTTTCCTATGAATACTACATCTATTTCCAGATCACTTCTGACTATCCACTAAATGAACATGAAAATGCCTGGAGACTGTTCTCACTAATGAGGTTGTTGTCTTGCCCAACACAGAAATCTTACATATTTTTCTTCAAATTTCCGTGCAAGGGCCTCCACCTTATGCCTTTCTTTTTCTTCATCATTGAAAGGATCCAAGACATCTTTTTTCTGAAAAGAGATCATTCCACAAAAAATAAAATACACACACACAAAATGCCATAGTCCTAGTTAAAGAACCTTCAATGACTACCCAACACTTATAAACTATGTAATAAAAACTATTATTTAGAAATAGCAAGATAAAATACCATGTTTTACTGTTTAAAAAACAGAATTTCACCAAGTGTATCTATTGATGGCAATCCTAGCTACTAGAAAGGCCGAGGCACAATGATCTCAATTTCAAAACCAGACCTGACTACAGAGTGAGGTCAAAGGTAGCCTAAACAATGCATCAAAAGCTTGTCTTAACAAGAAAAAAAAAATGGGGTGGGGAGAGATGGCTCAGTGGTTAAGAGCATGGACAATTCTTCCAAAGGTCCTCAGTTCAACTCCCAGCAACCAACCACCTATGCTGGGATCTGACACCTTTTTCTGGCATCAGACATACATATAGGCAGAGCATTCATATAGAAATATTAAAAAAAATAAGTCTATAAATTTGTTCTAGAAAAAAAGACAGAAAGAAAAAAAGGGGTAATAATGGCCTAGTTTAGTGTTATAGTCCTTGCATGATCAACTCCAAAACCATACATTAAAGAGAGAAAGCGGAGGGAGAATACGATTCAAGAAAACCTGATCAAATATCTACAATGACCTAACACTGGGGCTTCAAATATAGCAAAGGGTCTTTACTAAAGATACTCAATGTCCAGAGAACTATGTTCAATACAGTTGATTCTGTAATTCTTATTGTAGGCACTTGAAAACATTTTAAGAAAGGTCCAAAGGCACCAAGAAACTTCTAGGATAGTCAAGGTTCAAAAAAGTTAAAAATGATGGCTCAGGGCTTAAGAATACCAACATCCCTTTATTTAAAGGACTTGTATTCAATTCCCAGCATCCACATGGCAGTTCATAGCCATGTCCAACTCCAGTCTCAGGAAATCTGAGACCTTCTTCTGGCCTGATAGTACTGCATGCATGTAGTACAGATACATACGCAGGCCAAATACCCATACACATTAAATAGATAAAGTTTTTTAAGTTAAAAACTGTACTCTCTTTGGCAGCATATCTATTAAAACTGGAATGATACAGAGAAGATTAAGGAGGCCCCTGTTGCAATGATGACATGCAAATTCATGAAGTGATACATATTTAAAGAAAAAAAATGTTTAAGACCCCACAAAATGTAGTACAAGCTTTTGACAGCCATTCTGGCTTTAGAAAAACGGTATGAGGGGTTTAAGAACTTACTCTACTGGTAGAATGGTTGTCTAGAAAGCACAGGCACTGATGAAAAGGAAAGAGGAACCAAAAAACATAAAATAATAATAGTTAGTAGTTATTGTTATATTATAATTATAGTTACTATTATTACTATTATTATTATTATTTAATAGTGCTTCTCAAGTCAAACATTGATTAACAGAATCCTTACCCTTGGAAACAAACCTTCAAGGGTCCTCTGTCATGACTCTTTTCTCTGCCAACCTCAATAATCATTCCTAATACTTTCATGTAATCTAAAGTTTGCTTTTATTCCATAAGTTTACTCATGTAGTTTAAAAAAATTAATTTATTTACATTTCTTTTATTTATTTAATTACTTTTTAAAAAATTATATTATTTATATTTTATTTACTTACACTGTAGCTATCTTCAGACATACTAGAAGAGGGCATCAGATCCCATTATAGATGGTTGATGGTTGTGAGCCACCATGTGATTGCTGAGAATTGAACTCAGGACTTCTAGAAGGCCAGTCAGTGCTCTTAACCACTGAGCCATCTTTTCAGCCCCCAACTCCTACGTTTTTAATCAAATAAATTTTCCATGTTCTCGGGCAAGGGATTTTAATATTAATAGTAATTATAATATATATATGCTAAGGCTTCAGAGTGCACATAAAATACTGAAAAATAGATGCTTGCTTCAAAACAGACATATCCAAGCCAAGCATGAAGGTACATTCCTGTAATCTCAACACTTGGAAAACAGAAGCAAAAGAATAATGTTCTAGGGCTGGAGAGATGACCCAGCAGTTAAAAGCACTGAATGTTTGTTCTTTCAGAGAATCAGGGTTCAATTCCTGGCACCCACATGGTAGTCCATAACTGTCTGTAACTCCCAGATCTGACACCCTTACCCAAATATATATGCAAGCAAAATACCAATGCACAAAAAAAAAAGAAAAAAAAGAGTCAAAGGCCAGCCCAGACTACATAGTATTGCTTGATTTCCAATCTCAAACAAATAAAAAGAAAAAAACTTCCTTTATTCTACTTTCCAGTCTAATAAAACCCACCCACTCAAAATGATTTACATGACTTATAGTGTATATGCATACTGGAATACTATGGCACATACAAAGTACAAACATTTATAATAAATGAGTGGCTTTTATATGTTTTTGCCTGCATGTTTATATGTGCGGTATGTGCATGCATGGTGCCCAAAGAAGTCAGAAAAGGACATCAGATCCGCTGGAACTAGAATTACAAATGGATGGGAGCCGCGGTATGGGTTCCGGAAGTGGAACCTGGGTCCTATTAAAAGAACAGTGCTCTTAACAACTAAGCTGTCTCTCCAAACCTACATGGGCTTTGTAAAAAAAAACATGTGCTGCTTATTTGTATCTTCTGTTTCTATAATGATCACATACAACTTAAATGGCTAAAATAACTTAGAAATTCCATTTTTGGATGGGTGGTGGTTACACTTTTAATCCTAGCACTTGAAAGGCAGAGGCAGGTAGATCTCTGTGAATTAAAAGCCAGTCTGGTCCACTACTGTTATACAGAAAACTCTAACTCAAAAAAACAAACAAACAAACAAAAAGGGCATTTTTGAGCACTACTCAATTTAACAAGAATTCCTCAAAACCCAGCCAACACATCTTTTCAATTCCAGAACCGAAGACTCAGTTCTGACCAAACACACCATGCTAGCCATTATTGAGCTCAGCCAAGGGCCTCTGGGGCTTAAACCTCAACATATTGTAACTTCTGCTACCTGTGCTCCTGGAATTTTTTAAAAATACCTATAAGACTGTAAAATCCTCTGAGGCAGGGACAGTCTTTCCCACTTTTATATGGTCCTCCCTGTGCAGTAGCACTTCACATTGTAAAGAATGTGTTAAATGAATACATAAATGTATCAGATTATACTAGGAGTAGGTGCCCAGGACCTCACACATTTCTGTACTCTTAACACTACAAGACAGATCCACTCAGAACTTGTAAAACTGAAAAGTAATGATTCCCTTGAAACTTGATCCAAATTTTTCTGCGTACATTCCATACATTTTTCTGTAATATTCAAAGTAATATGGAACTTCTCTTCCTCAGCTTCCAAAAATAAAACAACAAGGTAAGTCAGAGCACTGGAGATCTAATTTCAATTGTTTTATCCATTTAGTATGAGCCCATAAATAAATACATTAACTCCTACTAATGTGTCTTTCTCTTAAGAATGAGGACCCTATCCGTACTAGGAATTGTGAACAGATTTTAAATTATCTTTCTCATCCTGTTTACTGGCCCTTATACAACATGATGACCCTTGAAATAGATGTACTGACTTCATTCTGCCTGTAAGATTATCAATCAAGATAACAAACACAGTTTGGGCTGGAGAGACAGCTCAGCAGTTACAAGCATCTGGAGAGCTTCCCTTCCTGCACCCACATAGCAGCCAAACCATCTGTAACTCCAGATGATCTAATTCCCTCTTCTGGATTCTACAGGTAACACATGTGGTACAGATACATACAGACAACATACACATAAGCAAATACACATAAAAGCAAATAATGGAGCAGGAGAGATGGCTCAGTACTTGAGAACATGTTGGCTGTTCTTGCAGGAAACCTGAGTTCAATTCCCAGCACCCACATGATGGCTCACCATCATCTCTAACTCCAGTTCCCGGGGATCTAACACCTAGTTTCTACAGGTACATACATATGCAGTGAATATACATACATGTAGAAAAAAGACTCAAAAAATAAAGTTTAAAGGATAAACAAAACACATTTTAGTCAAGTGGTGACATACACCTTCATCTCAGCACTGGGGGGCAGGAGGGGGTGGAGGCAGGAGGATCGGGAATTCAAAAGCATATTGCTATATGGTAATTAAGAGGCCAGTCTAGGCTACATGAGACCCTACCTCAAATATAACAAAATATAACCCTACACATTTATATTCAAGTGAGGAATCCTTCGTAACTAGACATGCTTCCTCCATACATTCTCAAAATCGATCAAGCTGGGTGAGTACTTGGCACCAAGACACCATGCTAGAGACTTACCAACATTATCTCATCCCACCCTTCTGTGAGCCAGGTGCTGGCCTCATCCCTGTTCTGCTAAAAGCCACTAGAGACCAAACTGCCACAAGCATGGTCCTACTCATCTTCTCTTTCAAGCCTACCAGCATACTAACATACAGTAGATGTTTAAAATGCTCTTCATCTAGCTTATTCATATAACATACATACTATATATACATACAAGCACAAAGAAATAGAAAACTGGTCTTGATTGACAGCAGTTCCCTGTGAGGAAGGGGAACAGTGTTTGAGACAAGTAGAAATGTTTCTACTATCCTGGTAAATGTGTTTTATGAGCAATGTGCAGGTTGCATGGCAATGCTAAGTATATGAAAAATCTACAAATTTTATCATTATGTACTTTTTTAAATTGTATGTATGATACAACTAAAAAAATTGTTTAGATTTTTTTAGATGGATATAGTGGTGTAAATATATAAACCCAGCATTTAGGTGTCTGCCACAGGAAGATCGTAAGTTTAAGTTCAAGGTCAACCTGGGCTACATAGTAAGATTGTGTTTACTTGGCTTTTTGTTTGTTTGTTTTGTTTTCCAGCTTGACACAAGCTAGAGTCATCTTAGAAGAGGGACTTCAACAGAAAAAAAATGCAACTTTCAGACTGGCCTGTAGACAAGTCTGTGGGAATAGTTCTTGGTATGATTGATATAGGAATAGCCCACTCTAGGTGGTGAGACCCCTGGACAAGTGGCCCTGGGCTGTACAAGAAGGTAACTGAGAACCAAGCCAATAGGCAACACTCTCCACAGCTCCTGCTTTTGTCCCTGCCTCAACTTCCCTTCATGATAGCAGTAGGCTGGAAGCTGAAATAACCCTTTCCTCCTCCCCAACTTGCTTTTGATTTCTACATTTATCACAGCAACAGAAGAGAAAGACACTCACTCTCTTGAAAATATATAAAAACATAAACACTTCTTTAAAAAGTTAATGACTGACCAATGCTGTAACAGTTGAAGATGGGTAATAGATATTACCCATACTTGGTAATCTACGCATATTTGAAAGTATGCATGTTTGAAAGTTCCATACTAGAAAAGTAAAACAAATATGCCAAGAAAAGAAATACATCAGGGTTGGTGAGAGGTCAACCTGGGCAGAATGAGATTCTTGGCACTTGCTATCAATTCTGATACCCTGAGTTCCATTCCCAGGTCCTACCTGAGAGAAGGAGAGCTCTGACTCCTACAAGTTACACATGTGTGTGTGCACGTGCATGCACGCACACATTCTCGCTCTCTCTCTCCTTTCTCTCTCCATAATAAATGTTTAAAAATTTAAAAGAAAAGAAGAAGAAAACATCAGTTAAAAATCATTTGAAGAAACCAAACTGATTTTCAAACAGCCTGAAGCTCACAAAGCCAATTTTGACATAGGAAGAAGGCAGGCAGGCAAGCAAGCAAGCAAAAGCAAATTTCTACACATCCAAAACCAAAAACTACTCAAGACACTGCTGTCCAGAAATGATGAGCAGTGTGGGTATCTTCCTGTCCGTCCTACCAGAGTGGTCAAAGGAAAGCATGCAACACTGCAACCATCAAAAAAAGGATCCCATGTGAGTAATATAAAAATATTAGCACAAAAAGGTGCTTTTTTTTAATTTATATTGTTAGCCATAATTCAAACTAGCCTTTAATATGCCATATATTTTTCTCTAGCATTAGTCAGGAGGATTCCTAAAAGAATTTTCTTCCTTCTCACCCAGTGCTTGCTCACTCTAGGTGAGTGAAATGAACCTGGGGCAGCTGAGGCCTAGAGTAGCCTCACTTCCCTAATATAAAGGTCCATGTGAACATATTGGTAGCTTCATG